TAAACATCACTCCGCTTCCAAAAGATGAGTCTTTTCTGCCATCCAAACCCTGCATCTTACCTTTGTCGTCTAGTGGCTCATTTTCTCGTCCATTAAATTGATGGAATCTAGGTCATGAGGCTATGTCCTAGTTCCAGAAGAAGCCATAGAGGAAGTAGGAACAAGTGAGATGGTTCAGTGGGCAGTGGCAATTGCTGCCAAGTCTGACAGCCTTCCATTCCTGAAGGTGGAAGGAAAGAACTGCTCCCAAAGGTTGTTCTTTGACTTCCACACATGTGTCAAGACACACACACACACAAAAAACCAAAATAAATAGAGGTAATAAAACTAGTATAAATAGCATACGAAATGTGCTTGCCAAGAATGCACAAAGCTTAGAGTTCAGTGCAAGCCGTATCACCTCATGAAATCACGTGGGGTGGCACATGCTGGTAGTCCCAGGGCTTAGAACGTTGTGGCAGAAAGGTGAAAGCAAAGCAAAACAAAATAAAAAAAAGTCATAGGCTTTTCCTACATAGCTGAACTCAAGAAAAAGTCCCTAAAGACAATAAATGTGCTTAGCACTTACTAAAATGTAAAAAGAAGTTACTGCAGTGTACAGTGTCCGCTCTTCTACTCCAATAGGCAGCACAGTCTCAGAAGGCACAGCCAAGCACATCCATCCTCTAAGCAGAAAGCACCCACAGGCGTATTTACTTTTAAGCTAAATTGGGGGAGATTTTAATTTAAAATAGTTGCTTCCCTATGCACCTACAGATCTTAGACCACTCTTGGTGGTATGAGCTTGGAGAGTCACTCTACATAAAACAGAAATTATTGAGGAAATCAGTCAGAAATAGGGCTTGGGGTGAAGGGAAACAAGAGCAGAAGACTGTGGACTTTCCTCTGTGGACTTGACTCATCCTCAGTATTATACAGATAGAACATGCTCCATTGTTTCCCACACACCCTTTCATTACCTCTCGTCCTACTTATGAACGCAACTGCACCCGAAGCACTATACTTGTAGACTAAAAGGGAGGGAGTGGGGCAAAGAGAACAACAACAAAAAGGCTTAGATACAAAAGGACTTCTCTCACCAGAGTGCAGTTGTGTGTGCCTCAGAGGCAAACACAGACAGTAAAAACCAGACGAGCTGATGGGCTTTGGCAACAATCAGTAGGAGTGTGTGTGTGTGTGTGTGTGTGTGTGTGTGTGTGTGTGTTACAGTGGAATCAGATGTAATACATCTGGGAAATCCAAATACATTTTCACAAATATTACAACTCCAAAAGGTACTGAGAAAGCTAATCCCAAAGCTCTATAAGACAGAAGACTCAGAGAACAGGCAGCAGTAATACACCAGGTAAACCTGTTAGCAGAAGTAGGGTTCAACAACACTTGAGATGAGCCCAGAAAGCAGAACCCCAAACTTTTAATATGAAAGTACATTATGAAGATTATATATGGTCACAGGAAGGCAAAAAGACACCCATGGTTAAAGTAAATAGACAGAGTGAGACAGGCTGAGCTCCTGGGCAATTTACACATGTAAGTGTGCAGTCATAACCAAGAGTATGAAACTTCAATGATTATTTTGAATAAACCAGAAATGTATGGGGGTAACTGACACTGAGACATTTGAGGGAGCAATCATATGCTCCCTAGAGAATCCACAGGGAGCATTCACTCAGGCAGGCTGCACAGAAAAGCTGATTTAGTAAAGATCATTGTTCTTTTCTTCGAATTTAGTCTAAAAAGAGATAATTTAAAGATTAGATACACCACTATATAACTATAATTATAACTATACACATACATATATACATTCTTTTAAAATTCATTTGTCAGTCAGGTGCTACCATATTGTTCAAGCAATAACAACAGGTACAAAGGCTCTCACAGAAATTTGCTGCAAAAAATGTAAGGCTAAGACAGAAAACCCTCCTCAGCAATGCAGTCAGCAGCAAGGCAGGGGGTGGTTTCAATCACTAGCTCTAGTTTCATTTAAGAAAGGGCAAGGCTGCTGCTGTGCACAGGATTTCTACCAGATGCATCCGTGAGGGTAAGCCGGAGGGTGTGGCTTTGGTTCGTTAGCAGTTTTTAAGATGTAAAAGGAGAACAATGGAAATCAGATGTTCGTCGCCAGATGATTATGATGTCATGCAAAAAATCTCTAATTGTTTAAAGATTTCCTTTATAAAAAAACAAAGCTTTCTATTGAACATGTCTCCTGATCCCAAATGCCATCAAAGAAGGAACTGTTTGCTGGCCCCAAAGGCTGCTATTTCAGGATTAAACAGCAGTCTCATCTGGGACTCGCTGTGAAAGGTTGCAATGTTGCATTCCACAGTCAGCAGAAGTTTATCTCAGACCGGTGAGCAGCTTGGCACTCGACTTTGTCAACCATATGTATTATTTCAGAGGCTCCTAATATTGACGGTGAACGTTAACCCAGTGTCCACAAGTCCTTCGCTTTAAGATGCTCAAGAGGGTGACCCCAGTGGCACGGCTTACAGAGAAGTAGAATGTGGATTGTGTGTTTCACCGCAAGGTCTGGTACTCTCTTGGGCACTTTACTTGTGGAGTTGCATGTCCTGTCTCCCACACTTGTCTACAGTCTGTCTTCTAACTTAAGACTAGTGGAGATTTAGAGGATTAGAAAAGCGGTGCTTAAGTAGGAGGGTCAGCCAGACCCTACGTTAAGGAACGTAGTGTTCTCGACAATATACAGTTTGACGCTGCAGTGCTTGAACCAAGAATGCCAGAGTGAAGGGAGGCAAACAAAGTTAAGAAAGTTCGTAGACCCCAAAGCAATTCCAGCCCTCCCTATAGCTCATATCCTCCTCTCGTTTTCGTTAGTTGTCAATCACTATTCAGCAGACTATAGATTTTACTTATGCTGTGTTATGGTTATCTGTGAAGACAAGATTGGGTCTGTTTTTACAGATATCTGCAGGTCCAAGCGCAGAAAGCTTGACTGGTGCGGAAGGAATACTTATTCAATGAAAGAGTAATAAAAGACAACTTCTTCATAGAAATCATTCAGTCCAGTTTAGCCTTAGCTATTAAAAGTAATCCAGAAACTCATGTCTCCCTGTGCTTAGATGAAGAGTCCACAAAAGAAAAAAGGAGAAAAGGAAGGAAGGAAGGAAGGAAGGAAGAAAGAAAGGAAAAAAGAAAGGATATGAAGGAAAATGCCTCAGGGAAAACAGCAAGCATGTTAGTTCATATTTTGGAATGAAAAAGAACATCCAGGCTAAGAACCAGGGAAAGACTGCAGCTGTTAAACTTCTGTGTGCTAAGAACCAAGGGAAGAAAAGTATGAAATGGGCAATTAAGGACTGAAAGAGCTGGAGAAATGTGTAAACCATGAGAGCCATTTTTAAAAAGGACACCACTGGGATCTGAGGCGCAATAACCTCTACATACAAGATAATCCTAGCGACAGCACATAGATGGGCCAGTTGCTGAGAGTGCCCTGGAAATCACTGTAACAAACACTACTTCAAGTAGGAGCCCATCAGTTGTGGTGATATTTTGTTCGTGCTTTAACAAATAAAATTTGCCTGAAAGACCAGAGAAGCAGAGCAGGGAGCCACTAGTTCTTACCTCCACGACATCCTCAGAACCAAGGGGACAAAACCTGTCTCTATGGATCCTCAAACTGAATGCTGCCTCTAAGAAACCTCAGAGTGAATCCTGAGTCCTGTCTCCTCCCGTTGTATTCCTCTCTCTGCCCAGTCACTTCCATCTCCGCCTTCCTAGTGCTGGAATTAGAGGTGTGAGCCACCTCTCCTTGGCTCTGTTTCTCTTTTGGACTTTTCAATTGAGTGTGGCCCAGGATGGCCTTAAATTCAACAGAGATCCCTCTGCCTCTGTCTCCCAAGTGCTGGGATTAAAGGTGTGTGCCACCGCTGCCTGGCCTCTATGGCTGACTAGTGTGATCTTCAGGAAAGCTTTGTTTGTTAAAGCACAAACAAAATATCACCACAGTCTGTGGGACAGCCAACTAACTAACAAAATTAGAACAACCATGACTGAAAGGATGTAGATTGAAATCCTAATAATCTAAAAGTATTCAAATTCACGCAGAAAATTTCAAAAAAAAAATTACAACAAACTAAGGTGATGACTATGCTAAGTGTTCTATGTTGATTATTTGCTGATGAATAAATGAATGCACGACATAAATTAGTATACCTATTAAATGTCAATTAAAAGTGAAATGAATTAAGCAAATTTACTTTGAAAGACAATTTCTTCTAATGCTGAGATTTAAAAAGAAACCATAAAGGGAGCTGAGAGTGAGAGTAGAAAAAAAAACTTGTACTAACAAATCAGAGATTAGTGTAAGGCACAATTTGAAGTGCAATGCATTTGGTACTGCAAAGGACCCTGGGTATTCCAGCCTTGCATCTGCTACCCCTTTTTGGTACTTTCCAGTTTCCCAGAAGAATCATAAGTACCAAGTTCTGCTATTTGCTCAACATTGGTACTATTCTCTTTTTTTTTTACCCTATTATTCGAGTATTTCCAATGTGGTGGTCTTCTATTATTGTCATCTCTTTATTCACGTGACAAAGTGTGACACCTGGCATGCAGGGGAGTCGCTTTAAGAGGCACAGTATGAATTTAAGAGTACAACAACATAGGACGTCACATCCATTTCTTTCATTTCCTATGGAATCATAGGCCCTTGTAAGGACTAAATACAAGTACACCTGCAAAACACACCTGGTGTATAGTGAGCTCCCAAAAGTTGTGCACAGTTATAAGCTATGATCAGTGTGGCCATGTACAAGTGGTTTTGCTTTCTTAGTCATAATCGTCTTAAATAGTAGATAACAATTTCTTTCCCACGCACTCATTACCTTGCCATGAGACAGAGGGTACAGCAATTTGCAAACTCTATATCACTGGACAGAAACATCACAGTAATCTATAATAATGATAATGGTTATGTGTCCAGCTCTTTGTGAATCTTACTCTACTAAACTCACTGTTTAATGTGCCATTACCTTGGCTGACGTTTCAAACCATCCTACGAAACCGTGCTCCTTGCAGAACTGGTCCATCTTGAGTCCATTGTTCACAAGCACGTCCTTTCCCTGGTCACATTTATTGGCCAACAAAACCACCGACACTGGCTTACCATTAGGGAGAGTTAACTTTGAGTCTAAATCATTTTTCCACTTTGCCACTGCTTCAAATGTGGCTGGCCTGGTGACATCGAAGACAATAAATGCTCCCATAGCTTCTCGGTAATAGACTCTTGTCATGTTTCCAAATCTTTCTTGACCTGTCACCAAAAAGAAACAGAATTCAGAAAGTTATTAAAATTGGAATCATAATATACACTACACTAGAGATTCATGGGGCCTGCAAAATGAGTAGACGATTCAATAGAGTACTATTGCTAATCTTTAAAGAGTGGGTGAATATACAATAATGTAGTTCTGCTATTTCATCTTTACAGCCAGAAGGAGATCTTTCATTTTAAAGACTGGGATTTTGTTTACTGGGCCTGAGAGATGGCTCAGCAGTTAAAGACTCTTGCTGCTTAGCCTTGAGTCATGCATTCACTCCCCAGATCCTCCATGGTAAATGGAGAAAATAAACTCCCAAAGCTTATTCTCTGATCTTCACAAGTGCGCAATAGTATGTGTGTTTGTGTATTGGCATGTGTGTTCTTGTGTGTTCACACACAAGCATACAAAATAAGTAAATAACTTGAAAAATTATGAAATATTTATTGAGAAAGCACAGTGCAGTGTGTAATATGCTATAACTCTGCTTATACAGTGTCTCAATACCTATATGTGACTATTTACATTAAATTAATTAATGCTGAATAAAATTTAAAATTCAAGCTACAACTCACAGTAGTTAGCTACATTTCAAATGTTCAGTAACTACAAGTAGTCTTCTTTGAAGTTCAGGGTAAAATGACAGATTAGAAGTTGTATCTGAGCTGTTGGTGGTGGTTCATGCCTATAATCCTAGCACTTGGAAGGGAGAGGCAGGTGGATCTCTTTAAGTCGGAGGCCAACCTTGTCACAAAGCAGCTCCAGGACAGCTAGAGCTGTTACACAGAGAAACCCTGTCTCTAAAAGAATAAATACAAGACAAAACAAAAACCAAACAAATAAAAACAAAACAAGAAGCAATGTCTGTGGGATTGGATAACAAAAAATGTTACTATAAAAAAAACAATTGATTTTGTTCCTGTAAAAGAGAGAGCTATGAAAAACAGAAGAATACTTGGTAGGTTTTTGCCCATAAAGCAGTAGCCAAGCCAGCACTCCAGCCGAGCCACATGACCTGTATGTACCCTGGCAAATTTAGCTATAGCTGCCTGGGAAGCGGGTTCCTAGGCAACCAACAGTGGAAGAGGTAGAGAGAGACAGTCGAGGTTTCAGAAACAAGAGGGCAGACACAGCTTTCAGCAAAAAGTGGCCAGTGTAGAGCCAGCTGCGGAGGCAGAGGACGTGTGCAGAGCTTGTAAAGCCAAGAGGAGCTCAGCACACTCACACCCACACCTGCCCATTGCCCTGGTGAGCTCTAAAGCTCTCAGGAAGTTGGGAGTGCAATATTCTGATGGGCGCAAGAAAGCTTCAAGCAACACAGGCTGGAGATAACATCGTGAGTGTGGAACCTGAAGTTGAAACTTCTCTACAATCCTCAATCTATACACCTGCCACTGCTTAGACAAGCTATTGAACTTGGTATGGTATTCAGGGGACTCAGTAGAAGGCAAACACGAGCAAGCAGGTCTTCCAAACTCCTTCACAATCTCAGTCATAGAAAGTTCTGACAAAAAGTACCTTCTTCCAAACATCAGAGACAAAGTTGTAATTTGACAGCAAGTGTCACAGAGTGGGAATTATGATAGAAAGTGGACTCTAGCCATACAATTTTTTTCTCACTTACAAGGACAAACTGACATAAGTTGTTTGAATTATTGACACTATAAATCTCCCCTAAATCACCTATGGAGACTGTTTCAAAAGGCAATACAAGGTCAAGGAGAAACTACATCTTCTTAACTACACTTATAATGACTTCTGTTTCACAGAAGAGCTATTATTATTACAACTTTTATAAATTAATTTTTGTTATTGTGTTTGAACCTGGGTCTCAGGGATTTTTGTTTTTAATAAGCTTTTATGACTGTCCTTCCTTCCTCTATACCTACTCTAAAATATTTCCTCTGGCAATTCTCATATTTCATATCATTTCCTTCTTATCATTCTATCTTTCTGACTTCCACATTCTCTCCTCACCCCACTCTTAAATATTTCCTCTAAATGCATTACAAAAATATAGTCCCTTAGCAAGTACCCTAGAGGCACCGTCTCTGAACTCTATCAGGATTTAAGCAAGAGTACAAATTATCTTCTACTGGACATTAAAGTTGAGATTGCCACTATATCTACAGCTGTGGTTGGTTACCCATCTAAACAGCATTATAAAACATAACCCTATGTAAAGACATCTCACCAGAGAACTAACATGAAAATAAAAGCAATAAAAAGAATAGGGAAAAAATGAAAACTGGGAATACCTCTCTTTTAACGGAAGCATGGGCCACAAATGCATGAAACCATCCACTCTGACATTTCCATAAGCTCCCAACTCCTCAGCATCAGAAACCAACTTCCTGTGAGATTTGACTGTTGTAGCACTACAACAGGGCTACATTCCCGGTCATTATCCTCAGTGTAAAATGAGAAAATTGAGAATTGGAACCTGTGTGCAGCTTGCCCATATAAAATAGACCATAAGCTTACAAAACCAGAATTCAAACCTCAGCTACTTGAATCCAAAGCCATGTTATCCATTAACATCAAGTACTGTCAGCTTCTAAGCCACACTCTTGAGCTAACTTGACTCCAGATTTATGTTCTACAAACATCCAACTCAATCCAGTTTTACAGAGACTTGCTGGATGTCTATAGAATCTGTGCTAGTCTCTGGTCTGTGTCCTTACAATGTACCAGTGAACCAGTCTCTCCATTAAGGAGTCTACAGTCCATTAGACAAAGAAATAATCTCGGTATTGAAGAAAATCGTTTCCTTTAAAGAATAAAGATTGGTTTGGGAATTAGTTGCAGTCAGCCAGAAGTAGTTTTGCTCTGAAAATCTTCCTAATGAGTATTGGCAAGTTTCTTATACTTTCTCAATTAAGCCCTCCTCATCTGGAAAGTGTCTCTAAGACTATGAAGATCAGTTTTGTGCAGTTTTAGGCATTAACTAAGCACCCAACAGTCAAAATTTCTCTACTATGCTGAAAATATAATAGAAATATGATATAAGTTCTGAAAAACAGTTTTAGATCAGAATTTAAGACAAAAACACTTAGGTACTTCAGCAGAGACAAAAAGTGAGCAAAATCCTATTACTTCTAATTATGTCTGCTAGTGATTTCTGGAGGCAGGGACTAATGAAGGATGGATTCTTATTTTATGAGTCCCAAATCTTTATTTACATGAATCATAAAATTATACAAATCAGAACAAAAAAATAGGTATGCATCACTTTCCTTAGAAAGAATAAAATACTAAAAATGCAATATATTTAGGAAAGTGGATGCCAATATCACATAAAAAATACTTTAGATAACCTTAGGACACAAGATTTTGTGCTGGTGAATTTTAACATGACATAGTGCCTGTTGTGTAGATGATTTTCACATTGCTATTAAAGAAACCATGCTTCCCTAAGTACATCATGGGAAGGGATGGAACTCGCCGGCTCTTGCCTTAGTATCTGAGCATCTGCTCACGAATGTGTGCTGGAGAACAGCATTTCATCGGGACCAGCATGTGACAAGCTGACATTTCTTACATAGGTTGCACCACAGAGAAAGTCAAAACTGTTTCTCACAGTCATCCAGTCAATGAAGGGAGGAGTAAATCGTTTTTCATATGACGCGCAACCTAGGGATGAACTTTCCTTGTTCTCCAGTGACCTCTCCTTTATTCTTTTCTAATGCACGATACAAATAATGACCTCCTTTGATACTGTTCAGGGCAGGGCAGGACATTTCAGGACAAAAAGGAAAGAAGCCTTCTGTGATCATTCAGAATTCTGAGGGCCTCTAGGCTTGTTAAGGATGTCTTGTGATCTCTCTAGAGAGCTAACTAGATGAAGGGCAGTCACGGGTTATTCAACAATCTACTTGTCCAGGGGTTTGCAAAGTAGGTGGTTCCCAAGAATGACGACCTTACACTAACATACGGACAAGGATCATATTCAGACTGTGCAAAGAGCAACATATTAAGTTTTCTACCCTGACTGGCATTTTCAAAGGATGTGAATGAACACATCAGAAACAAGGAGAAGGCAACTTCTCTAGAGAGAAAAGACCTTTGTATGTGGAGGTCATTGGGCCAAGCCACTGGGAAAGTTGGTATTTTTGACATTCCGGAAAGGGGTCACGGGCAGACCAGAGCATTTCTGGCTCTCACATCATATCCTTCCTTTGTCAGGTGACAGCCCTCTGTGCACTTCTTGGTAAAAGTGGGAATCACGTGACTCTTAGCGAGTGCCTACTTGAAGGTAGAATAGAGACTTGTCTAATCTAGCCTAAGTAAATTTTCTTTAAAGCAAAGCAAAGACTACAATTCAAAACCCATCTCTGCCATAACAGTACTCACCCAACACACATTTACTGGACAGATACTTAACTCTGTGCCATTGAAATGTAGGCCTTCTGATCATAAGAAGTTTCTTAAGCAAAGAGTTATACTTGGCTCTTCTACTAAAAATGGCCTGCTTCACCAGGTGGAGGTCTTCTCTCCTAGCCTCTAAACACACCCCATCATGGTATGGATTTGGCTCATGATTCTGCGCCCAGCCTAAGGGATGTGAAATTGTAAACTCATTTATTTAAGGAGTCAGAAGACATGGGCCTTAACGTTATCACCATTAATCTTAAACAAATCAAGAAAGCCTTAAATGAATTTGTCTCTCTCTGAATCTGAGTTTTCTGCTGTGGGAAATGGAATTCATAAGGTTGATTGCTAAGGTCCCCTTAGTTGCTCTCTTTGCTAAGATTTAGTCAAACCTTGACTCTGTTTTCTGTCACCTGAAATGATTCCCTTGGTGTCATAAGCTCAGGCAAAAATATATACAAATGTCACAACCATAATGTGTATTTAATGGTATTTTCACTTAATAATGAGTGTTCTTCTTGTTGGTTTTCTGGGACAGTGATAAGACACTAATCAAATCAACCCAGAGAAAAGGGGTTTATTTTGCATACAAGTTCATCTTCAAAGGCAGTCAAAGCAGGAA